CTCAATACCAATGTCGAGTCTGAATCCAAATGTTGTCAAGTCCCAAAGTCACCAATCTCTCTCTCTCTCGTAGTCTGCAGATACTGAGAAGTCAAGTGGCGAGAGGGTGAGGGAGAGATGGTGGACTTAGAGGAGGAAGAAGAACTCTCTCTCTCTCCCTCTTGTACCAAGTACTAACCTGTGAAGGCGGCGCCTTGTTGCAGGTACATCGAAGACGAAGCTGGAGCTATGGCGCCACAGGTAAGTCTCCCTGGCCTCCGCCCTTCTCTCTCTCCCAACGCTACTCTACCTCCTAGCAGTGCCCAGCGCTGAAGACTGCTCTAGCGCTAGCTACTTCTACTGCAGCGCTCCTGCAGAGTGTTGCAACCAACTCCTGAAGACTGCCTCCTAAACGCTCGTGAAGTGTTTGTGAACTGCCTGGGAAGTCCCTCTGCCTACCTGCAGCCTGCAGGGCGAACCAGTACTATATAGTGCTGGTCCAGCCGGTAGGCTGCTCTTGCCAATGCCGAAATGTGCCAGAAAGTGGCGCTGAAGTTCAAACAAAGGTTGTTTTGAAACGGGCCTAAAAGTGGCCTGTGCTGCTCCCTGGTCTGGCGCCTGAGTTTCAGGAAAGGTCGACTTTATGAGGGCCTGTAAATGGCCCTCTTTTTCAGGATTTTAGGCTGAAATGACACAGGGCCTGGAGGGCCCTTATTTTCCGTCTGGTCGGGCCCTGCAGGCCCGTGTGGATGCGCAGTATGCCACCCCCCCCCCCTCCTTGAAAGACCGAGCTTACCTGCGAGGGCGAAGCTGCCTGTCGGAGGGAGGGACCAAAGTCCGGGTGGGAGGGGCAGGTTGTGAAGCTTCCTTAGCTGGTCTTCGTCACTCGTGGTCGGCATAGATCAGCGGTGCAGATCCTTGCAAATCTGCTCGTAACTTGGTGTCCAAAATGTTGAAGCACACGGCCTCGCTTGCATGCGGGGCGAAGTACACGGGGACAAAATCAATGCACCGGTCGATTGACTTGAGCGTGTGACCGTCGGTCAACGTGACTTGCGTGGGCTGCGACTTCCTCCGAACGCGTGGCCCCAGGCCAGCGCGTACCAGAAAATCTTGGCTCATATAGTTGCGAGTAGCTCCGCAATCGATCAAAGCGCTGCAGGTCGCTTCTCCGATCTGAATGCATATGTACAACAATAGTGCGTCGTTGTTGTCGTACCCTTGTGTCTTGAACTCGCGGTCAATCTTCGCAACGTAGTCGTGAAGGTCAACAACCTCTACTCCGGCGTCCATCAACGGAGCTGGTACTACAGTGTGCAAGTAATCCCGCAATTGTGCCATGAGCATGTTGCAATGCGGTTTCGGCAATCGACCGGTCGGGGGAAGGGGCATCTATTGGAAGTTTGCGAACGTTAACAGGTCGAGCCTCTCAAGTCTTGACCATGACGTCGAATCCCCGGCCAAAGTTGGCGGCGAAGCTGCCGAATCGGTTGCCGATGGTGGTGAAACTGTGCACGCGGTGGATTGTTGCACGTGGAGTGGCTGGTCCGATGGTGGGACCAAGTGGACAGCGTAATCCTCGTAAGTGAACCGAGGATTCACAACATCCGCAGTCTCCTCAGCTGTGTAGGAGGCTGCTAGCAAGGCGACCGAATCTGGCGGAGTGAGAGGTGGAGTCGCCTCACCTCCTGCGAGGCTCAGTTTCCCGAGCTGATTCGAGGTCAAACATCCTCCTTGCCTTGATCTTGGCATTGGGAGGTCTTGTGCTTGGTGATGTTGCACCAATAACAGCAGTTGTATCGACTGCGGTACTTGTATTCGTCCTCGGTCAAGTTGCTGCTCGCTCCAAGTCCTGTACACGGGAATTGAGTGCCCGTGTGGCATCCTCATGCGGGTCCTTGTGGTTCCGCACTGTCCATCGGAGATTCGCCAGCTCGGTCTGCAAGTGGTTACAAGTGTAAACCAACCGGGTCACGAGTTTGGAGAGAAACTCCTTGTGTTGCTCTTCCGGTGTCGCGTCTTCGTGGCTCTCGGATGGTTCAAAATGCAAGAACTTGAGCTTGTCGACGCTGGCGGCTTCGTGCCGCTGCACCAGATCCTGGGCCTCCTTGAGGCGGGCCTGGGCATCTGCTTCAGCTTCGGCCTGAAGCCGCTGCTTTTTAGCTGCTGCCGCCGCTTCAGGCTGTAGGCGGGCAGCCTTGGCTGCCGCCTGACGCTGTTCCTCAGCCTCGATCAGTGCGAGCTGAGCTTGGAACCGCTGTTGGTACTCGGCAATGGACTCGTTGGCCAATTGGCCTGGCATGCCCAAAGCTGAACCTGTCATGGTGGTGGGGCACTGCTGACGTTGGTACTGCTGCTGTCGTGGCACTGCTATTGTCGTGGCACCGCTACTGATGTGGCACTCCTGACGTGGCACTGCTGCTGACGTGGCACTTACCAAACCGGAATGCAGACAAAGGGCTGGGTGGGAGGGAAACGCAGGAAGGTGACCCAAACTGCACTTTCCATTCCCAGTCCTAATCAACAAAACAAATAAAAAAATAAAAATTAGTAAAAGAAGATGATCCCCCCCTTTTTTTTTTTTTGAATATCTGTTGATCGGTTATCAGTGAGGCATTACGGAGGAGTACTATGAGCGAGATCTAGGCAAGGTTTTGCACAATTTAGACTTCCAAAAAAAGCGATCTTTGAATTTTTTTTTTTTTTTGCACGAAAATAGAATGGAGGTTCCACTTTTAGAGAAGAATAGATCCAGTCTGAGAATATGACAACCTCCCTAGTTCACCTGATATGCCTAGAGTGTGATAAAAAACGAACTGCTAATGTCCGGAGTTGCGAAAAAGATTTTTTTTGGGCAGAGATTTGACGAAGCCCTACTTGATTAACTAATAAACAATCGATCAATCAATCAATCAATTAATCAATCAGTCAAACAAGCAAGCTGGCTCCTTGATTGGGCGGATCCTCTGATTGAGAGGTCCACTCCGATACCAAACTGTTGCATACCGTAACGGTACAAACCAGAATAAGAACCGACCTCTCTCACATAGTACAAGATAGCGGAAGGCTAAAATACCAATGATCAGACCAATCAATGTCTCAATGCAGACCAAACATACATCATCATCACCCCATGGCGTGAAGGGGCCTAACGCTCACACAGGAAGAATGCGCCAGTCCCCAACCATACACAGACGAAGAGGAGGGGGATTAGACGAAAAAGAGGGGGAAGATGGGAATGTCGTCAACACCAAGTCTTCGGTACGGGTTCCAAATAATCCCTCGCCCAATGTCTCAATCCCAATGTCGATTCTGAATCCAAATGTTGTCGAGTCCCAAAGTCACCAATCTCTCTCTCTCTCTCTCTCTCGTAGTCTGCAGATACTGAGAGGTCAGGTGGTGAGAGGGTGAGGGAGAGATGGTGGATTTAGAGGAGGAAGAAGAACTCTCTCTCTCTCCCTCGTGTACCAAGTACTAACCTGTGAAGGTGGCACCTTGTTGCAGGTACATCGAAGATGAAGCTGGAGCTATGGCGCCACAGGTAAGTCTCCCTTGCCTCCGCCCTTCTCTCTCTCTCCCAACGCTACTCTACCTCCTAGCAGCGCCCAACGCTGAAAACTACTCTAGCGCTAGCTACTACTACTGGAGCGCTCCTGCAGAGTGCTGCGGCCAACTCCTAAAGACTGCCTCCTGAACGCACGTGAAGTGCCTGTGAACTGCCTGGGAAGTCCCTCTGCCTACCTGCAGCCTGCAGGGCGGACCAGTACTATATAGTGCTGGTCCGGCCGGTAGGCTGCTCTCGCCAATGCCTAAATGTGCCAGAAAAGTGGCGCTGAAGTTCAAACAACGGTTGCCTTGAAACGGGCCTAAAAGTGGCCTGTGCTGATCCCTGGTCTGGCGCCTGAGTTTCAGGAAAGGTCAACTTTATGAGGGCCTGTAAATGACCCTCTTTTCTAGGGTCTTAGGCTGAAACGACACAGGGGCTGGAGGGCCCTTATTTTCCGTCTGGTCGGGCCCTGCAGGCCCGTGTGGATGCGCAGTATGCCACAAGCATCAGCTAGAGGGTTTAAGCTTTTAAGGTTTTAAGGTTCAGGGCTCTAGGGGGTTCCGGGCAATCTCTGACTGAGGTACTGGAGCTAGACCTTATAGATCTGGCGCCCTGAAGCAGGGTGAAGAGGTACCGAGTCGGTTCAACCATGATACACATGCCATTTCAAACGCAATAAGTTCAAAGGGACACTGGACCTGTTTCCAGCAGGTGAAGCTCCCCTCCAATAGATCAAGCAACTGGCGTGAGTCCTAGTAGGAGCAATTGCTCTTACCACTGCCCCTAGTAAAGCTCTCGCCCTCCGTGTGTGTGTTGTCATGTTCGTTATACAACATTCCGCAATAAAAAGGATGACTGTGCCAGACTGTTTTGTTGACTGGGGTTGACCAAGCGTTGACCAAGGCATTGACCGACGTTGACCAAGGCATTGATCGGTGTTGACTAAGGCGTTGACCAAAATTGTTGACCACAACTTTGACCAAGTTGGAGCCGGTATAATCTCGTCAAGCCTTCAGCCTATCCCCTCGCCGTATGGATGTGCACACACCCTGTGGCACTTGCTGAGTCAAGTTGTCTGTCTCTTCTTTCTGCATCGAGTCACTTTTGTCCAGGTGTAGGAACTCTGTGGATGAAGGATAGGGCCTTGTTGACCAAACCCACACGGGCTGAGTAGGGCTAAAGACTGTGTTTGACGACTCGACTGTCCCGGAGGACACGAACCCTCCCAAGGACCGGTACTGACCGGCGGGCTGCTCAGTGTGGCACGGTAGGCCCAAAATCCGAGTTGTGGGCTGCATAACAGGCTGTCTAAGTCTTGAGAGGACTTGCTGATCGTGTCGTCCTGTTTGCGACGTTAAGTAATTCTTGAGGAGTTACGGGGGATCTCCTTAAATGCCTCCTGATCAGCAGTGAGTCCTGTAGTGACAACCTTAGAGTAGGTTCAGACTAGTGACCCTAGTTGAGAGGATCCTGTCCGGGTTCTGTAGTTTATAGATTGAGTCAGTAAGTTGTGTCAGTAAGGGGGGTAGGGTCTAAGTGGTGAGGTGTGGAACTACTGGTTCGTTGTGAGCCTAACACCATGGTTGAGACCCGTGGAGGGACGAACACTACCCCTAACACCCAGGCTCAGGAGGAGCGAGCCGCCACCATTATGCAAGAGAGAAGGGAGAAGAAGGAGAAGAAGGAGCTCCTCAAGCAGGCGAAGTTGAAGGCAATCGCAAAGGAGCAGGCGACAAAGAAAAATAAGTTGGAGGAGGAGATGATGAGATTACAGCAGGAGGAGGAAGAGAAAAAGAGGGTTGCCGAAGAAGAAGCAGCAGAGGAGGAGGAAGAGTTAGAAGAAGAAGGACCCCTCGAGAGGAGGCGCAGGAGAGAGAGAGGAGAGAGCAGTGGCACAAAGGGAGAAGACGCGTGGGTGGAAAAGAAGATCAGCGAATGGGTTGCTAATTTATCGTTGGGAAAGGACGAAGAGGCAATGTTATATGTGCCTCAGGAGGAGAAAGAAGCCGTAGCCAGGGAGATGGAAGCTATGGAGGATCCCCTGGACCGCCAGAAGCTAGAAAATGAAAAGAGATTGGAGTGGAAATTACGTTTGGCAAGAGAGAAGAAGAGGAGGAGGGAGGAGGGCAACCGGATGGCCAAGGAAGTGGAAACGATACAGTTGTGTAGGCAAGAGGTGCAAGCGCAACAGGATACCCAGGCCAAATTAGACAAGATTCCGAGTTATCTAGAGACTTTGGGTCAGGCCTGGATTGAACAACACCACACCAATAAGGGCCAAGAGGTGGCCCTCCATTCCATCCGGACCGGATTTCGAGAGTTTGCGCGCGACGTGCTGACCCACGTCAGGACCGAAGTTAGGTGGCTGAAAGAAGGCGCAGACAAGTTCTGTGCAGGCGCCATTGAAGGCGCCAAAGTAGTGGCCACGACAAAGAGTGAGGCGCGTTCCCTCAAAGAGCCTGTCAAGCTGAAGTTCCCAGATGCGTATGGCGGGAAATCCGAAGGAAATTTCGATAATTGGAGGCTAGTGTCAATAGTTACGTATATTTACAACACATCTTACCTGAGGAGCAGGTCATGGTAGCCTTCCACGCCCTGAAAGATGACGCGACCAGTTTTGCTAGGTCCCTAGCGCGCGCAGACAATTGTGAGAACAACATGGTTGCTTATTCGAAAGTCACCCCCCTTCCCCAATTCTTCAGACTCCTCCGTGAGCGTTTGCTGATCTTAGGAGAGGCATCAAGGCCTCAGATAAACTGCAAACAATCCACTCACGACAGTGGAGGAGTGTGCGAGCACTCAAGGCAATTATGGACGACTTGGTAGCCATCCCAGACCACGGGGTCACTGAGGCCCAACTGGTCCAATTATTTTATCGTGCTATGCCAGAGCCCTTACGAGGGCATTTCTTCGACAAGAGTCAACAACCCACCATGACGTATGATGCGCTGAGTAGAGAGGTGGTGTTGTACGAAGTGAAGTCCATGTCAGTGTCCACTTTCTAGCACAAGTACTTAGATAAAGGGAAAAAGTGGAAGGGTCGGACCATCTCAGGCCAAGTTAGGGCAAAGGATCATTTGATCCTCACTTTAGACGAGGGTGGTACCGACGAGGTCCCCTACAGTCAGATTGAGTGGGGGCTAGATGAGGAGGATGATAGTGGCGTGGGCTAGGGGAGGACCTACGCTGCTGTCGTGGCCAAAGGGAGGCCGCAAGGCAGAGGAGGAGGGAAGGGCCAGAGGGGCCAGGCCTTTGGTGGCCGAGGACAGGGCGCACAGGGGGTTGGCAGCCAAAGGAACCGCCAAGAGGGAGGTAGGGGTCAAGGTCCCCCGCCAAATCGCTCACGTTTTAGTCGGTCGCCCCAGAGAAGAGGTGGAAGATCACCTCAAAGGAGAGAAGGATGGCAACCAGGCTTGCCACGGGGCAGACCATGGGAAGATTTGGGTCTGGACGAGCGCGTATGGCAGCAACGTGTGGACCAGGGTCGGTGCATATACTGCGGTGACCCGGCCCACATTATTAAATATTGTCCTAATTATAGAGAGGGCCGATCGGCTGCCCAACGGTCAAAAGGCAGCCGTCGATAGGGGTTGCAACTGCCCCTACAACAAGGCCATGTGGGGAAGCGAGCGCGTGCCAACAGGAAACTCCCACACCATATGGGCCTACGACAGAGGTTGCAGGCCAGTGCCTAGTTAGCTGTCCCGAGACTGCCTGTGTTAGCGTCTCTCTATGCACTTGCCTCACAAGCGTGGCAAAAGAATTGAAAGAAAGGATGTCGGCCTGGGCCAAAGTGGAGAAGGAAAGTAAAGGACAACTAGTATTAGTAGATGTAGAAGTTTTTAGAAGTAGAGTAGGAGCCCTTATAGACTCAGGGGCTACTCGCAGTTGTATTAGCCATAGGGCGCTGAAGAAGCTAAGGCTAGGATTAAAAGTCCAGAAGTTAAACCACCAGTACCCCGCCCAGCTAAAGTTTTTGCTCTTCCTGAATTCATGGAAGACGTGGGCAGGGTCGGTAGAGGCTGGGTAGAGCTTGGGCAGAGGTGCGGAGGTCGTTCGTTTTGAAAACAAGAACGAACGACCAGTGAACAATATCAGGATTTCTCAAGACAAAAAAAAAAAACAACAGAAAAGCAAAAAAAAAAAAAAAAAGAGATTTGTCCTTTGCGCGTGAGGTATGCCGTTTGAATCGAGAATAGAAAGAAAGTTGTTGTATCTCGGGTTTGAAACGAGAATGGATCTTCCTCTAGAACGTTGCTACATACAGTGAAGACCTCGTGGCCCTGTGCTGGGAAGACAGACATAAATCAAGAACGCCGTTCCCAAAAAAAAAAAAAGCAAAAAGCCACTCAATTAGTGTAGGTACCTTTACTCTGACACGGCGGGCTTCCCGGATTCGGGAGAAAATTGCGCAGGGCCAACTTGTGCACTGCTTACGACCGTGCACTACTCAATTTGGCCGTACCAAACCAGAGATATCACTTGTGTTCATTCAGCGACGAGCTGCTTCGGAAGTGATGGTCGAGGAAGGCCTGACTGGGGCATACTCACACTGCCACTTGCCAGAATGTATCTGACCGCAATCACCTCCAAATCTTTTATTTTTTGTTTTTTGTTTTATATGGCCTAGCCAGCTAGGTAGTGCGCATTCCACGTTCACAGGAAAAACCCTCACTGAGGGCATACTCACACTAGGACTGTCGACCATGTATCGGACCACAATCACGGCCAAATCTTTTTTTTTTTTTTTTTTTTTTTTTCGTTAGTGCCTAGCCAGCTAGGTAGAGCGCATATCACGTTCACAAGAAAGGCCCTAACTGAGGGCATATTCACGCTAGTACTTTCCCAGCATGTATCTGACCGCGATCACGGCCAAATATTTGTTTCCTTTTTTCTTTCCTTCCGTTCTTTCCTCCTATTACACGTGCTCGGGAATTCCCTCAGGGCATAAAAAAAAAAGAACAAGAAAGTAAAGAAAAGAAGAAGGGAAGAGGCAAAGAAAAAAAAAAAGGACTGGTTCCCTACCGAAACAAAGAGCTTCGGTAGCCCGAAACGAAAAAGGTCCGGAGGAGTGCTTCGGAAGGTACTGGTGGTTTAACAGACCCCATAGTCAGTGTCCTCGCAGACAACCGCACGATGCGTGGTGAGGACTACGTAGAGGGAGTCCAGGCGTATTTTCACCTAGAGAAAGATGGGAAAGTGGAGAAAGTTCTCCATTCCCTGACTCTCCGCGTACAGGATGACCTCCCTTTTGAGGTTAAGACGGCCCGTCTGTTTCATGTGTCAGGAGTAGACAACTCCTTGGCACATTGTTGTCTCAGTGCTCCCGCGTTCGCGCGGTTAGTTAAGAAGGACCAGTTAGAGGAACAAGTCTTCGTAGCATATGTGAGACCTGTCACTGAGCCTAAGGAAGAGAAGCCAGTAGACCCAACTATTGCCAAGCTGCTGGAAGAGTAAGGACTTAGCAGAGCCGCCAACAGGAGTAGTACCGCGGCCGATCCAACACCGGATAGAAATAGAGCCTGGCAGTAGAACTCCTAAGGGAGCGGTTCACAGGATGTCCCCAAGGGAGTTAGAGGAGCTGGACAAGCAGTTGGACGAGCTCCTCGAAAAGGGTTGGATTAGGCCCAGTTCGTCTCCTTTTGGAGCACCAGTGTTATTTGTCCCCAAAAAGGAGGGAGAGTTGCGTATGTGTATAGATTACAGCGGTCTGAATGCTATCACAGTAAAGAACGCTGAGCCGCTGCCCAGGATAAGACGATCTCTTAGATCGAGTGCAATGCTGCAGATACTTTTCGAATATAGATTTAAAGTCCGGATATCATCAGATAGAAGTTCATCCTGATGACCAGTACAAGACTACCTTCCGGACTAGATATGGCCATTATGAGTTCATAGTGATGCCCTTTGGACTGACCAATGCGCCAACCACATTTCAGCGCTGCATGAATGATGCGTTTAGACCTTGGTTAGATAGATTGGTCGTAGTTTATTTAGATGATATCCTAGTTTTCAGCAGGACCCTCCAGGAGCACCAGGGTCATTTGACACAAGTCTTGGGGAAGCTAAGAGAATCTAACTTCAAGATCAACGTGAAGAAGTGCGAGTGGGCGAAGACAAAAGTTTTGTACTTGGGCCACGCTTTAGACAGAGACGAGATTAAACCTGAGGACAGTAAGATAGCGACGATTAGAGATTGGCTGACGCCCCACTCACTGACAGAATTGCGGTCGTTCCTAGGCCTAGCTAACTATTATAGGAAGTTCGTGAGGAACTTCTCTACTATCGCCGCTCCCCTTCGCAGGTTGCTAAGGAAAGAAGCAATTTGGACGTGGGACAAAGACTGTACGTCCGCGCTTAAGAAATTAAAGCGCGCGTTGATAGAGTATCTTTTCCTCAAGGTGGCAGATCCGTCCTTGCCAGTTGTCGTCACCACGGACGCGAATCAGTATGGTATAGGCGCCGTATTGCAGCAGGACGACGACAATGGCTACAGACCCGTAGAGTTCATGTCAGCTAGGATGCCCTCAACGAAGGTAGCTACCTCGACTTATGAGAGAGAACTCTACGCTCTCAGGCAGGCCTTAGAGCACTGGAAGCATTACCTGCTTGGGAGGCACTTCAAAGTAGATTCCGACCACGAGATTCTTAGGTGGCTGAAGACGCAGGCCAAAATGACACCTAAGTTGACTAGGTGGGCTGTTGAGATAGACCAATATGACTTTGAGCTCAAGCCTGTCAAAGGCAAGTACAATGTAGTTGCAGATGCTCTAAGTAGGAGATTAGACTACTTTGGAGCTATAGTTCACTATCTGGATGTAGGGAGTGACCTGCAAAAGAAAGTAAGGCAGACATACGCGGAGGACCTTATCTATAGTGACCTTCTCAAGAGAGTTAAGGAGGCCCCAGAGACCGAACCAGATTACTGCACTACAGAGGAACTATTATTCGAGAAGACCAATGTAGTGGACCATCTATGCGTTCCCAACAGTGAGGAGATCCGTAGCCTGATCCTAGGGGAATGCCATGATACAGAGGGACATTTCGGTTGGCAAAAGACTTTGGCCAACCTGATGCAGGCGTATACTTGGCCAGGAATGAAGAACGACTGCATAGAGTACGTCCGCAGTTGCAAAGTATGTCAGAGAAACAAGACTACTACGCGTGCCCCTCTAGGTCTTCTCAGACCCTTGCCTATTCCTGACCAGCCAGGAGACTCTGTGTCCATTGACTTTATAGATACCCAAGTCAAAAGTAGGCACGGCAAGAGCCAAGTCATGGTGATAGTTGATAGATTTAGCAAATATGCAGTCTTTGTTCCGTTGCCTGCAGACGCACGCACCAATTTACTAATTCATAAGTTTTTTTATCATTTGGTTAGTGATCACGGGATTCCGCTGTCCATAGTTAGTGATAGAGACACCCGGTTCACTAGTCAGAATTGGCAGGAACTGATGAAAGTTTATGGGTCAAAGTTGCTCGTGTCATCTGGCCGTCATCCCGAGAATAACGGTCAGACTGAGCAAATGAATAAGATCCTGCAACAAGTTCTGCACATGTATATTAGACCGGATCAAGTCAATTGGGATGAGATGTTGCCCAAGGTAGCCAGTGCGTACAATAATAGCGTGCACTTGTCCATCTGTCACACTCCCAATGAGTTGCACAAGTCCTTTAGACCGCACAGACCGTTTGAAGGACTTAACCAGGATCAGATTCATAGGCTACCGCCCGGTACTAGGGAGTTTGCGATACAGCACGAAAAGGAGATAGCTACCGTCGTTGAGAACCTCAGGAAGGCCCAGCACCGAATGATAGAACAGGCTAGCAAGCACTGTTGCCCGTCGCAGTTTCAAGTAGGCGACTTAGTCTGGCTCAAAAGTCCAAAGAGTTTGCTCCTGGGGAGAACATTTCGCAGAAGTTACTGCCAGCGTACAGAGGACCATGGCCAGTTCTAGAGGTCAAGGGCGGAGAGGATGGGCCGTCCTATACGATAGAGATCCCAGCACACCTCCACACCTACCCTGTGTTCCATGCGTCGAAGTTGTTGCCGTGTGTCAGAAGTCGACAGTTTCCGTCAAGAAGATCCGTGATCCCTCCGGACATGGATGGAAGATATGACATTGAGGGCATTGTAGGTGAAGATGTATTCAGAACAGGAGGTAGAGGTCGCCCACAGAAACAGTATAAAGTCAGATTTGCTTATCAGGAACCCGAGGACGACCGCTGGTTTACTAGAGCTGAACTTCTAGAAGCAGCTCCCGACGTAGTTAGAAGGGTAAAGGTCCTGCCTTGGACTGAGCTATTCTCGGAGGACCGCGAATTTAGGCCGGCGGGAGTGAAACGGTATTCACCTGTTCGCAGTAGCGGATGCACATCCCAGGGATTGATCCCTAGTCCTCACCTTACCTGTGTACAGTATCTGTGTCGACCCCAAGAGTTGAACCCGTGACCTGTGTATCCGCAGCAGTTAGTAGGCTGTCGTAGGCCCGTAGGTTGTAGAGGTTTGAGCTGTAGACCTGTTGTTTGTAGGTCTTAGTAGGTCCTAGAAGTCGTAGCTGTAGGACTTCTGAAAGGTCAAGGTCGTAGCTGCTACAGTCCTGAAGGGTCAAAGTCGTAGCTGCTACAGTGACGAAGGGCCAAGACTACAGACTTCCAGAAGCTCCGGAAGTTGCCCTTCACACAGTAGTCCAGAGGCAAGTGGGCAAGTGGTGGAGTCCACCTGTGCTGAGTCAGCGGTACCCAGCCCCAGTCAAGCAAGTACCGTATGGGACTGTGTGCACCACGGGCATGGGGAAGGGGCAGACCAACGAGTTACAGAAGTATAAATCAAGAGGCAGCGCCCAACCATTCATTCATTCCTGCGTAAGCCATGTGGACGCGCTGCCACAGCGACTTGTGCTAGGTGGTCTGCAGTATGCCCGAAGGCGAAGTGGGCCGAAGGAGAGCTTAGCCATAGCGGTAGAGGTAGTAGCGGCCATAGCCGCCATAGCTGGGAGAAGAGTGTAGCGTGTGTGTGCGTGTGTGTATAGCGAGTTGTGTGTGGGATATCCAGGGTGATCCTGTGTGTGAACAGCAGAGTTGAGCGAGTGACGAACAGAGAGTTGTACAGGCGCTGATGTGCCATAGCCATCTGAAGAGAGCTTGTATCTGAACTGTCTTCTTGGTTGCCATATCTCTGAACTTTGAGTGGGCGCTTGTCGCCAGTTTGGTGTGCCACCTGTTTACATACATGTGAAGTGTGAAAGAGAGTGAGTCTGATTGCAGGCAGATTCTCTTAGCTTATTGTTATGGATCTACCAGGGCTCAATCCCTGGACCTCATGCCTGGTACCGGACATTTGTTTTTTTCTCTGCTATGTCCTCGGTACCAGCACATTCTGCATTTCTGTCCCTTGGACTGTTTACCGGTAACCTTCTGGTACTGACTGATTTTTTTGCACATAACCCAGAGTTTCTCTTAGATTACCCTGTGTGTGTGTGTGTGTGTGTGTGTGTGTGTGTGTGTGTGTGTGTGTGTGTGTGTTTGTGTGTGTGTGTGTGTGTGTGTGTGTGTGTGTGTGTGTGTGTGTGTGTGTGTGTGATTTTCGCTATACACAACACAAAAAAATGCATGACTGTGCTAAACTGTTTCGTCGGACACTTACCGACTCATGAGGTGTATCACCTTGCTCAGTTGCTTGCTATAACTCTAATGAATGGTGTTTCTTTTTTTTTAAAAAAGAGAAAAGAAAAAAGTGAATGGCAGTTCTATTTTTAATGAGACTCGTAAAGGGCAGTGTGCTGAGCCAATCACTGTGCTGTATGTTAGTCCCACAGGGACGAGCTACACTGAGCATGTGGGCTCCCTTGCATGAATGCTGTTATGCTTGCTAAGAGAAGGTATTCTTTGTAATCTGATGCAGAATCCAATGATCGCAAACTGTACCATGTACAGAATCGTTGGGGTAGGGTTGGAGTGCAAGGGCAGGACTCTTTGACTCATTGTGGGAAAAACAAACAGCAGGCAATAGACCTCTTCAAGAAGAAATTCCTCGATAAGTCCGGAAATCATTGGGATGATCGGCATAACTTCGTGTCGAAGCGCGGCAAGTACACTCTTATTGAGATAGATTACGCAGAGGAGGAAGAAGACAACGCCAGCAAAGAAAAGGTGAGCGTAAATCCAGCAAACCCAGCTTTCTCTTGTTTTCTTTCTTTTTCAAGGAACTTCAGTGGTGAAGACCACTGTAGGAAGTGATACGAGTACCCTGCTAAAGTGGCCCTCCCTATGAAGGCTCCGTCTATTGGTGGGGAGCTGCACCTGCCGGAAATCGGGTCCAGCGTCCCAAATGCCACGTGATACATTGCTTTTGCTGATGGCCCTGAGACTGACTGTGGCCTCGGTACTGCTAGAGGCTACCGTCTTCACCCAAATAGAACGCCTGGTCATTATTGCTGCATCTGGACCGAAAGGTCGGGGAAATGCAGCTATGATGACCTGGCGTTCTATTCGGGTGAAGACAGTAGTCTATCTATTCATCTCGCATATGTACCACCTTTTTTATTTGTCGTTGTGCACTTTGTCGATGAGTGGTGGAGGCCATGTTGGATTTGTCTCAGCTTCTTATTGTCCATACAAGCAATCGTGCCTATCAACTTTCGGGATTTATTCTCAAATATGGCCTTGGAGGGCTATGGCACCATTCTATTATGGGGTCCATCCATTCGGTCCTTTTCCATTTGGTTGTTGCCTGATAAATGCAAGGAATATGAGTGAGAGTGATAGTCAGAAATCCAAGTCGCAAAATCACGAAGTAGCCCAGTTAGTCATGTACCACGCAAAATCACGAAGTAGCCCAGTTAGTCATGTACCACGCAAAATCACGAAGTAGCCCAGTTAGTCATGTACCACGCAAAATCACGAAGTAGCCCAGTTAGTCATGTACCAAGCAGTCTTTCGGGACATCCGTTAAAATTGGAACGATACAGAGAAGATTAGCATGGCCCCTGCGCAAGGATGACACGCATAAATCGAGAAATGGTCCAAATTAAAAAAAAAAAAAAAAAAAAGTCATGCACCGAGCAGAGAGCACAATGCACCAAGATTCCATCCAAATAAGAGCAATACAATGAACTCAACTGTCAATGCCGTCGCTCTCTGGTCACACCAACACTGTATCCAATGTCGCTCCTACTGTCTGGCGCCCAGCGGCCAGCCTACACTACTCAGCCTATCTATCCTATCTACGTTCATGCGACTGGATCACATCGAAGTTGAAGACCAATGTACGTGGCGTCATCATCAATGCCGACCGCCAGCATACACCAGGTACGTTCTCTCTTCTCCCTCGTCACACCTTGATCCCGTCTGCGTGCGCCTCCTACCCGAAGACCACCATCGCCACCCGGCTATGGCCGCCGTGCGCTCACTGCCTCAGCAGCGCCCGTGTGCGCGTCTGGCCAGCAGCGCTGATGCAGCTGCTCGTGTGCAAGTGCAGCAGTGTGGCCGCATTGCCCACCAAGGCCAGAATATCCTCTTCTGGGGCACACACTTTACACACTTTCCTTTATGGAAAGTGTGCCAGCTGCTGGCTGACCTGGCCAGGCGTGTGGGGGGGGCCAGTAGCTTGACTCTGGCCACAAGTGTCTGCACCCAGGCCCAGTTTCAGATACTGCCCTGGGCCTCGTGCAGTTAGGCACGTTCAGGCAGCCACCCAGCCTCCAAGTGTTCGCAGCATTCTCATTGGCTC